TTTGTTGTGCTTTCCCCTTTCTAGGTGCCTTTCTAACACCGCCACTCGGCAAGAGCCGGATTTGCCCCTTGGTGCCGGCGCTGGGAGCTCCGCAGCTCCCGCTGGAGCCGGGGAGATTCCTGCAGAGCGAGACGGGGCTGGAATGGGGCTGGAAACCTGCTGCTTCCCCGGCCTGCGGCGTTCCACGGGGAGCAACGCTCCGAAAAACGCCGGAATACTCCCCAAAACACGGCGACATGTCTAAAAACACTGCAATATTCCCCATAACACTGCAATACTCCTAAAAACGCTGCAATGTGTCTAAAAATGCTGCAATGCTCCGCCAAACACTGCACTACTACTAAAAGTGCTGGAATACACCTAAAAGCGCTGCAATATGTCTAAAAACACTGCAATACTCCTAAAAATGCTGCAATACTCCTAAAAACGCTGCAATATGTCTAAAAATGCTGCAATACTCCCCCAAACACTGCAATATTCCTAAAAACACTGGAATACTCCTGAAAACGTTGCAGTGTGTCTAAAAATGTTGCAATACTCCTGAAAACTCCACAATTCTCCTAAAAATGCCGCAATATTCCTGAAAGTGCTGCAATACCCCTAGACACACTGCAATACTCATAAAAATACTGCAATACTCATAAAAATGCTGCAATACTCTTGCAAAGGCTGCAATATTCCTGAACACGCCTCGCTACGCCTAAAAACGCTGCAGCACTCTCAGACACGCTGCAATGCCCCCAAAATTGCTGCAACGCTCCTGAAAACGCTGCCAGACTCCTGCACACCCTGCAAAAGGGGTTCAGGAACCGGGGATAATTTTGGCACCGTCCTCCCACTCCAGCAAGTGGCAGCTCTGGGGCTTCCTCGGGCCGTGGTGGCCCTCGGGTGTCTCTATTCGTGGCCTTGTCCCCTTCTCCTGTCCCTTGGGCCCACTTAGACTGCCCACAGCAGCCGCTACCTGCGCATCAAGGGCCACCATGTGATGTCCCCAACACTCGCAGTGGAGGGGACGGTGACGGGGGGCTCCCGGCGCGGTGTCTCGGTGCCACTCGCGCTGTCCTGCTCATGTCCCTGTCAGCCGGGGTCGCTCCTTGGCCCTCCCAAAGGGCAGGCAGAGAAACAGCCACGTCCAGACGGTGTAGGAAATAAAACTGCCAATCCCAGAATGTGAGCAAGGAGCGCGGGAAACAGGCGCTGCCACGTGCGGCTGTGAGCAGGGTGTTCCTACTGTCTGTGTGTATAAAACCACCCTGGTCCATGCGTTGTATAAGTGTGTGTGTAAAATCACCCCTGGTCTGTGTGTAACCACCCACAGTTCATGTGTGTGTAAAACTAAATCCAGTCCATGGGTGTGTGTGTAACTACCCCCAGCCCACAAGGGTGTAGGTGTAACTACCCCTGGTCCATGGCTGTGTGTGTGTAGAACTACCCCAGTTTGTGTGTGTGTTTGTGTAAAACCCATCCCGAGTCCCGGTGTGCGGGTAACCACCCGCAGTCGTGTCTATGTACAGCAGTACCCCCATTCTGCCTGTCTACCCATCCGTGTGTGTGTGTGTGTGTGTGTGTGTGTGTGTAAAACTACCCCCAGTTCATGTGTGTGTAAAACTAAACCCAGCCCATGGAGGGGGTGTGTGTGTAACTACCCCCAGCCCACAAGTGTGTGTGTGTGTGCAGGTGTAACTACCCCTGGTCCAGCACTCTGTGTGTGTGTGTGTGTGTGTATGTGTGTAGAACTACCCCAGTCTGTGCGAGTGTAACCCCGAGTCCGGGTGTGCAGGCAACCACCCGCAGTCGTGTCTGTGTGTAGCAGTACCCCCATTCTGCCTGCCTCTGCATCCCTGTGTGTGTGTAACCACCCCAGCTCACGTGTGGCCTGCGGAGGTCGCTCTCCCAGGGTAGTCCGCCTGTGCGTGCGGCTGTACGGGGCGGGTGTGCGACC